GAGGAGGAGGAGGAGGAGGAGGAGGAGGAGGAGGAGGAGGAGGAGGAGGAGGAGGGGGAGGAGGAGGGGGAGGAGGAGGAGGGGAGGAGGAGGAGGGGAGGAGGAGGAGGAGGAGGGGGAGGAGGAGGAGGAGGAGGGGAGGAGGAGGAGAGGACGAGGGGGAAGGCCCCAGGGTACACGACCCGTTTCCCACAGGACCCCGCTTCCCCCTGTGCTAAATTCTTTACGCTTCGCGTATCCCCACCAGCCCATCTCTCAACAGCAACTCTTGCGAAGCATGCCGACAGTCGTGTTTTTCAGGCGTGTTTCCGGCTGCCCCCGCATATCTCCCCTGTTACTCCTTCCTCCCGCCTCCTTGTACATCCTCCTTGTGGGGGGAGCGGGAGAAGGACGAGGCGGAGGAGGAGGGAGAGAAAGCGCTCCTCGTGGTTTGAGTCGTTTGGGGTTTCTCGTCCTGGTGTGAGTCGTTCGGGCCCTTCTTCCTGGTGTGAGTCGTTCGGGCTCTTCGTGGTGTGAGTCGTTCGGGCTCTTCGTCCTGGTGTGAGTCGTTCGGGCTTCTCGTGGTGTGAGTTGTTCGGGCCCCTCGTCCTGGTGTGAGTCGTTCGGGCCCCTCCTCCTGGTGTGACTCGTTCGGGCTCCTCGTGGTGTGAGTCGTTCGGGGCCCTCGTCGTGGTGTGAGTCGTTCGGGCTCCTCGTGGTGGCTTGTATGAGCGCTGCCCCTCCTCCTGGTGTGACTCGTTCGGGCTCCTCGTGGTATGAGTCGTTCGAGGCCCGCGTCGTGGTGTGAGTCGTTCGGGCTCCTCGTGGTGTGAGTCGTTCGGGCGCCTCGTCCTGGTGTAAGTCGTTCGGGAACCTCCTTGTGGTGTGAGTCGTTCGGGCTCTTCGTGGTGTGAGTCGTTCGGGCCCCTCGTCCTGGTGTGAGTCGTTCGGGCTCCTCGTGGGGCCTCTTGGGGGCCTCTTGGAGCCTCTTGGGGCCTCTTGGGGGCCTCTTGGGGGCCTCTTGGGGGCCTCTTGGGGGCCTCTTGGGGCCTCTTCGGGCCTCTTGGGGGCCTCTTGGGGGCCTCTTGGGGGCCTCTTGGGGGCCTCTTGGGGCCTCTTGGGGGCCTCTGGGGGGCTTCTTGGAGGCCTCTTGGGAGCCTCCTGGGGGCCTCTTGGGGCCATCTTGGGGCCTCTGGCGACCTCCTCAGAAGCGCAAATGAGCGCTGGCCCCAGAGAAAGACAAAATGAGCCCGAAACCTTCGTAAAATCAATGATTTTGCTATGAAGGAAGAGGAGCGCGGCCCCCTCAGAAGGCCAAAGTGGGGCCAAAACCCTAGTAAAATCAATGTTTGTTGCTTCAAAGACGAGCGGAGGCGCCAAACGGTCCCCCCCCCTCGGGGCCAGAATCCTCGTGAGGGTCGTCGTTTTTTGGCCCTCCCAGGCGTCGAAAAAGACCCCCTTGATTGCACTCGGCCCGCCCTCTCCAGGCCCAGGGGGAGGGGGTAGGGGGAGGGGTAAACCCCTCCCCGAAGGGGAAGAAGAGGGGTTGGGGGGTTGAGGACAGAGAAAGCTCGCTAAACCACTCACGCCCAAAGGGCTGGTGGGACTAAAATGGGGGCCTGGTAGCCCACCCCGCCCAGGTGGGGGCCCATCGCCGATCTTTCGGAGGTGCATCGCCGATTCCAGCGAGCCGGTCCCCCCCCCCCAACAGAGGGGGACGGGTGTGTATGGGGGACGAGTGTGGGGGAGAGGAGCGAGTGGATGAGCGAGCACCATTTGGCAGCAGCAGTGCCTCGGCCGGCACAGAGGAGGAGCGAGGGCCGCAAAAGGTTCTCTGCCGACGTGGCCTGCAGAGCCGTCGAGCGCGCCAGGCGAGGCCACTGTCCCGCAGGGCAGGGGCCCCTCGGAAGGGGCGGAGGCTCCCAAGGAGCCCTTTTGGAGGAGGGGGAGGAGGAGGAGGAGGAGGAGGAGGAGGAGGAGGAGGAGGAGGAGGAGGAGGAGGAGGAGGAGGGGGGTCCACGCAGAGCACCTCTGCCGCCGCAAGAGGCCACCCCCTCGCCCGCCGCACGGCCTCCTGTGCGCCGCCGGGTCGATCTGACGGCGCAAGCTGCGCGCCACCGCTCAGAGCAGACGGACCCCCTGCCGGCGCCCCTCCTGACATGTTCTCCGAGTCGCGGCCAGGATCAGGAGGGAGAAAAACACACAGACACAATGAATCGTCGATCCCCCGGAAAAGATGGGAAAATATGGGAAGTGGGGGGGGAGACAGAAACCCAGAAAATATGGGGAAATATGGGGAACCTTTTTATTTTTGTATATTTATTTGTGTGTCCCAGGGCCCCTTCAGACATGTTCTCCGAGTCGCGACCAGGAGTCCAGCCGCGGAGACGAGGATCTCCGGAAGCGCCCAGCCACCTCCAGAACGACGATGTCGCCTTCGTCGTCGTCGTCGCCGTCGCCGCCGTCGCCGCTGTGGTCGTCGTCGTGGCCTTGGCAGTGGTCGTGGTCGTCGTCGTGGTCGTCGCCGTCGATCCTCTCAGAATTCGGCCGTGTGTGCGTGTGTGCGTGTCGTAGCCCGGGCTGCGACGGGAGCGCAGCCGTGGCGACGAGGGGCCTCCTGGAAGCCCAGCGAGAGCCAGAAGCGTCTGGAGATCTCGATGCAGGACATCATCCGACACGGTGGGGGCGTGGGCTCAGGAATGTGCCCAGGAGGCTCCTCATCCTTATTCTCCTTCCTTCCCCTTCCTTCCCCTTCCTTCCTTCCTTCCTTCTTCCTTCCTTCCTTCCATCCGTCCGTCCGTCCGTCCTTACCTTCTGAGGGCGGTGGCGATACCCATGGCCGATCCACAACTGGAACGCCGCTGGCTTCCAGACCCTGGACTCTCCTAATTCAAGGTATCCTTGTCCAGTGCCTCCGCCGTCTTCGGCGGCGAGCGAGGGGGGGAGGTGAGAAGGAGAAGGCCCTCTCAGAAGGCGGCGGAACCTCTCAGAAGCCCTCGCGCCTTCTGGGGGAAGTTGTTTTGTTTTGTCTTCGGGGAAGGCTCAAAAACTTCTCAGAAGGCCGGGGGACTTTCAAACCGTCTGAGAAGGCTTTCTCCTTCTCACGTCCCCCCCTCGCTCGCCGCCGAGATATGATTTGTTCAATCCGTGGCCCCAGAAGGTTCCGACCCCTTCCCTGGAAGTAGTTTTTCGTCCCGGGCCCTTTTTTGATGGTCCGGGGGCCCGATGGATGACCCAGGAGGCCGAAATCAAGGCAAAACGCCGGGATCGACAATACATTCGGTCGGGAGATTTGAGATAACGTGTCGCTCCGCCGGTTCTGGCCCACCGCGCCTCGGTGCGGCACGCTATCCGCTCCGCGGTCCCGAAGCGTCCACGTGCTGCGCCTTTCCGAGCTTTCCGTCCCGCGGAGCGGAGCGACGCGCGATCCACCTGCGAGGCACAGCGAGTCGTCGGGGCCGCCTTGACGGCATGCTATACAAAGGTCGGCGGCGCGCCCCCGGGGAGAGAAGTGAGAGTTAGGGGGGCCACGTGCGAACCCGACCCCCACCCCCCACGATTTCTGAGGGGCTCCCGAGCGAAGTGAACCCCACCCCCCCACCCCTCAGAAATCGTGGGGGGTAGAGGTCGGGTTCGCACGTGGCCCCCTAGAGAGGGAGCAGGGCCTCCTCGGAAGGCGGCCTGGCTTCTCAGAAGCCCTCGCGCCTTCTGGGAAGTTCCCCGCGTGTCTCCGGGGAAGGCTGGAGACCATCCGATGTTTCTGGGAAGGCCCGCCCCCTCCCGCTTACGGCAGGTTCGTCTCATCCTCTCCTCCTCCTCTCCTCCTCCTCCTCCTCCCCCTCCTCCTCCTCCCCTCCCCCTCCTCCTCCTCTCCTCCTCTCCTCCTCCTCTCCTCCTTCTCTCCTCCTCCCCCTTCCTTCCTCCTCCTCCTCCTCCTCTCTCCTCCTCCTCCTCCTCCTCCTCCTCCTCCTCCTCCTCGGAAGGAAGGAAGGTTCGCGCGACATTGGCGCGCTGGCGACGCCGGCGAAGGCGTTCCAGGTTGAATTCTGCGACGCGGAAGCACCGATGGACACGGGACCCGACGGGATTCAGCCTTGCACGATCGGGGCCGCGATCGATTCGAGGTTGAACGATCGACGCGATGACAACAACCTTTGCGCGCGCCGGCGCCGCACGAAGCTAATTACCTTGCCCCCTTGGGCTCGCCGCCGACAAAGGTCCTGCCCGCACGGCTGGACCGAGGCATAAGAGCGAGGTCGGCTCGGGGAGGGTACCCTGATGTTCTTCGTGCTTCCTGGATGCTCTTATGCACCCTGGGGAGGGCACCCTGGGATGTTCTTCCGCTTGGGCCGGCGGAGGGTCTCATGTTCCTTTGCCCTGGGCCCGACTGCACCGCGCCCCCTGGGCCCGCCGCCGCCGACAAAGGCCCTGCCCGTAGCCTCGGAGACCTGGGGCGCTCCGAGAGCGGCGGCGGGCCCCGGCCGGAGAAGGAGCTTCTCGGCAGGCCGGAGGCCCTCCGACGCTTCCGAGAAGGCCCGCCCCCTCTCGCTTCCCCCCCCCTCGCTCGCCGCCGAAGGGTGCTGCCCGTCTCCTCAGCTGCCTGCTGATGCCTTTGTCAACCTGGCCCTTGCGTGTGCTCTGCCTGGCAGGAACTGCCTGCCGGCACTGCGCGTGGACAGTGAGCCTGGGGCGCTGCGAGCGCTGCAGAGCTCAGACGGCCGCAAGCACGGATGATGTCAACACACGCACAAAACCCACCAACCAACCCCGCCGCCGAAAGGTCCTGCCCCTACCCTCGGAGACCTCCTCCGCCTCCTCTGCCTCCTCCTCCTCCTCCTCCTCCTCCTCCTCCTCCTCCTCCTCATCCTCCCTCTCTCCTCTCCTCCTCCTCTCCTCTCCTCTCCTCCATCTTTCCTCTCCCCTCCTCTCCTCCTCCTCCTCCTCCTCCTCCTCCTCCTCCTCCTCCTCCTCCTCCTCCTCCTCAGAGGGCGGCGGGGGGGAGCCCCGGGCGCCCGCGGCAGGAGCGGGCGACGCAGCTGGAGCGGCAGGTCGCACAGGCCGAGCGCCTGGCCCACGCCCACCGGCGCGCCCTGCCGGCCGCAGGCGGCGGGCAGCCTGAGCGCGAGCACGCCGGCTGGCAGCAGCGGGACCTCTCGCAGGGCAGGGGAGGACGAAGGACACAGGAGGGGGAGGAGGAGGAGGAGGAGGAGGAGGAGGAGGAGGAGGAGGAGGAGGAGGAGGAGGAGGAGGAGGAGGAGGAGGAGGAGGAGGAGGAGGAGGAGGAGGAGAGGAGGAGGAGGAGGCGGAGGAGGAGGAGGAGGAGGAGGAGGAGGAGGAGGAGGAGGAGGAGGAGGAGGAGGAGGAGGAGGAGGAGGAGGGGAGGGGAGGAGGGGGGAGGAGGAGGAGGAGGAGGAGGAGGAGGAGGGGAGGAGGAGGAGGAGGGAGGAGGAGGAGGAGGAGGGGGAGGAGGAGGAGGAGGAGGAGGAGGAGGAGGAGGAGGAGGAGGAGGAGGAGGAGGAAGCGGAGGAGGAGGAAGGTAAGCCCATTTTGCCTCTGACGGGCCCGCGGATCCCGATCGATCCATCGGGGTCGGTCGCGCCTGCCGCCCGATCGATCGCGGTGGCAGGGCGCATCGCGCATCGGCCAGCCCGCGAGGCCGGGCTCACGCGTGCCGCGCGCCATCATGTGCGGCAGGGGCCATCCGTGCCTCCCTGCACCCTGCCGCAGACAGCGGCGCCAGCGGCCGCGCGGCGGCCACCCCCGCGGCGGGACGCCGCGACAGGGCCGAGGCGGTGTTCCAGAGGGAGCTGCGCATCGGCGTGAGCGGGACAAGCGCGGCAACGCTCGGTTGCTGCTCAGGCTCCTGCAGGCAAAGGAGACCTTGACGAAGCACCACTCGGCGCAGCAGAGCCAGATGTCCAAGCCCTGGGGACAGACCTGGATTTGCCGCAGCTGCAAGCAGGTCAACTCGAACAAGGCATGGTACTACGCGGAGTGCGGCACGGAGTACGGAAAGAAGCCGCAGCAGCCAAAGCCGAAGCCGAAGAAAGTTCACAAAGAAGTGCAGCAGATCATCGATGCGATCCCCCCGCCTTGGAGACCACGGCAATCAATAGAGACGACATCTACGAGCAGCCGCCACAGGACCCCGCCATGCAGAGAGCCTACAAGCACAAGATGGAAAAGAGGATGCGGCTTGTGGCAAGGGTCATCCTGGCGACCAAGGCGGCGGGGGGGAGCTTCAAGAAGCAGGCGACGGAGATATCGATCATCAAGTACTGTCTGTACTCCTTGCGACCGAGACAGAAGCGCCTGGCAGAGATGCAGAGAACGAAGGACCATCTCTTGGAAAAGCTCGCGAAAATGCAGCAGCATCAGGACCTAGAGCACCAGATAGCCGGCATAGAGCAGGAGATCCAGAACGCAGACAAGCACATCACCGACATCATGGAGCAAGCCAACGAGGACGAAGAGGAGTATGCGGACGGCGAGGAAGAAGACGCAGACCAGGAAGAAGATAAAAGGCCGAAAGATCCTCCAGCTAAGGCCTGCCCACCACCGACCACGACGCCGACCTTTCGACGGAGTGACCTGTGGTGCGGGCCCACTGGGATCCCACATCCTCCACAGGAGCACGCCAACCAGGCAGACGACACAAAGTCTCCATATGATCATGAACCAGGCGCAGGTCCCAGGCACGAAGATCGAGAGCCAACATACAGTAATGAAGAGTGTCGTCGGGGACGCCGGGCGATTCCAAGCTACGATCGCGAAGGAGATCCAGCACCAGAATCAGAAGTTGAATACGGATATGAGAGCCACCTCACAGGGTCTACATGCTGAAGTACAACAGGTGGTCACTGGCATAGCCACGGGCATCCAGCAGCAGAACACCAAGCAGACGCAACACGACTGGCAACAAAAGCAAAGTTGGCAGCAAAATCAGCAGCAGCAGCAGCATATTGAACAACAACGGTTCCTGCAACGACAACAACAACAACAGCTGCACCAACTCCAACAGCAAGTACAAAAGCAGAAGGAGAAGGACAAGCATGAGGCCTCTTCATCCTGGCAGGTGGAGCAGGAATGGTTACAACAAGCCAGGCTTGCGACGGCGGAGCTGCAGAGGAGAGCAGATTTTCAACACCAAGCCAGATTCCAGGAAAGCACACCGCCGTCTACGTTCCCGCTGAGGACATCGCCGGCTGCGCACTTACACCCAGACGAAGACGAAGTAGCAAGGCACATCGAATTGGAAGAAGATGTCAAAGCAGAAGAAGCGCAGTGGCGGGACAAAGCGGCCGACGATGAGGAGGAACGACGTGCGGCTGAAGCCGAAGCACTGCAGAGAAGCTACATGGAGTACGACTACGACGACCAGAATCGGATCTGGGAAGACGCCCAGAAGAGGGAGATCGAGGAGGAGTACGAGCAAGACACGCAATTGAGAAAGAGCCAAGACGGCTGGTGGCACCACATCATCAATCGGGAGGAGGAGTAGAGGAAGGCCGAAGAAGAACAAGAGAACACAAGGTGGACCAAATACAACCAGCAGTGGAAGGAGCAGCCAGACCAGAAGATGGAGGACGAACAAAAAGAGGAACAATAAGTGACGCAGAAACATGAAGCAGTCGAAGTACCACTGCCGCCTACCCCACCACCCCTTCCCGAACAAGAATGGCGGCGCGAACCGACGCCGACGGAGCCGATCAAAAGCCAGAAAGAGGAACACTCTAGCGACATCACCGACGAAGAGGACCTCAGATCACGGAGCCTGCGGGCACCTCGGCTGCTGAGGATCAAGAGCGGCCACGAGGATACACGGGCTGCAGGAAGAGCGGCACCAGGCCCAGCGATGGGCCAGGACCAAGTGGCGCAAGCCAACCACGCGGTCCTGTTCGGCGTCGAGCGCAAGACTTGGAGGAGACGGCGAAGCGCCAGACCAGCACCATGAAGCCGTTCAGGGCACGCCCCCGACCTCGCGCCGCGGGGCCGGGGGAGCACGCGCGAATCACGGGCGCAAGCAGGCGCCTCAGTATGCATGACAGACAATTCGTCCTCGCTGACTGGCCAACAGCGAGCCCGCCATGGCGGACCGTCTACAACATGTTCGTCCCAAGCAGCTGGAGGAATGAGGGCATCCACCAGCAGCCCAAACAGTGAGCGACATCGGCCACCTCATGATGGGCACCAAATACACGACCCTGAGACTCGTCGGAGTGAAGGTGGAGTACGCCAGGCTCAGGCTGACGGTTACAGCGCGCCAGGTGCAGCCTTTTCCTCAAATTCAACGGGGAGCCCCGAACGAGAGCCACCCGAACCCCATGCAAGCGAACGCCAACATGTCCGAGCTGGCGAGCAGCATCAGCAACCTTTCCCAGCAGGTCGCCGCTGCCCAGCCGACGGAGGCGCCGCCATGGGAGACAATCTCATGCCTTCTACAACCTGCGCCCAGGCTCACCAAGAAGCTCCACGGCAGGGGGGGGGGGGGAGCACTCATCGAGCAGAACGCAACGAACACCGAGCTGCACCCTTTCGCGGAGCTGGCTACAAGAACGCGCCCGCCAGCTCGGGTGCCATACAAACGCGCTCACCTATACACGGACGGGAGCTTTTCGGCGAAGCAGCAGGATCATGCACCCTGGGCTGTGGCCATTGTTGGTCAGACGGATGGCGGCTTCCATTACCGCAGCTTCATCGCTGACAAGGTCACGGAGACTGCCAAAGCATATAACAAGGAGCGCATGACCAACACTACTGCCGAGATGACTGGACTACTCTGGGCATGCTTCTCGGCATACACCAACTTCCCCGATTCGCAAAGATCCATCAACATCGATTGCCTCGCAGCAGGAGGGAGCGCTGGCTTCACTACCAAGGAAGGGAAGGAGCTACCGAGACTGCTACGCATCTTTTCCAGGGACATACACCGCCGCGCCGACATCACGCCGGAGCATGTCAAATCGCGCGATGGGCGCCCCTGGAACGAGACGGCGGACAGCGCCTCGAAACACACAGAGAGATATGGGTTACACAGATGCAAATTGCCCAACGACATCATCAACCTGCTACATTAATCCAGAGACGACGAATGGCAATGGATTGAGGACGCGCCCGCCAGAGACAGACTGGCATACCCGAAGATGCACGACAGCGGATGGGAGCTATCGCATATACATCAGAAACGTGGATGTGGACCACTGCCAGCAGACGGTACCAGCCACGATTGTGGCACGCACTGGCCACGGGCTGAAAGATGCACTGGGACGGGTCGTGGACCAGGGGCAGCAGGCGGCACCAGCCACCTCGGCAGCGCGCACTGGCCACTGCCCCGAACAAATATTGAGAAGGGCCTTGGGACGACATCAGCCGATGCCGAGGATAGGCGCTGCGAGATGCGGCAGAGCCTGGAGAGGCGAGGTTCAGACCTCGGGACTGGCCCGAGGGGCAGGGGAGAAGGACGGCCACAGCTTGCGCCTGCCAGAGGAGGCGGTGAAGGGCAGGGGGGGGAGAGGACGGACACTCTCTGCGCCCCCGCGGCCCGCCCTAGCTCGCCACCCTCACCGCCTCCAGGGCGAAGGAGGAAGCCACCCGACTGCGACCCAGTTGCAGGGCACAGGGCACGGGCCAGACCAACGGGGCCAGCGCCAAGCGCGGCAAGCCGAACAGCGAGATCGACGTCAGCATAGCCACATACAACGCCCTCACGATGAAGGCCGAAGCGGAGGAGAAGGAGCACGAAGGTCTGGTACCTCCACGGGGACGCCTCGTTCGCCCCCAAACCCTGCAGAGAAAGAGACCTATCATGGGCATCCAGGAGGCACGACAACCAGCAGGAGTCCAACGGGGCGAGGGCTGCGCACTCTTCCCAGGAGGAGCAGACGCTGGACACCCAGGGTGCGGTATCTTGCTGAAACGACGATACCCTACAGAAAGAGCCGTATTGGTGAAAGATCAAGGCAGCACATTTGCACCAACTACGCGCTGATCCAGGACGATGCCGGGCCACAATAGTTGCGCCACCATTTGCGAAGAAGGCCAATGCTCAGCCAGCACCTACCCAGGCAGCTAGACGATATAGCTCCAGAGGATTGGCAGCTGGCGAACGCACACAGACAAGCTGGCCCGCGCCCGTCTGGACCATGCT